TTACAATCACTGTCTTGTGCCATTTAAATCACTATCACATTTGTAATAAAATTAATTAAAATCTGTGAATAATAACTGAAAAATCAAAGGCAATAACATCTCATGTAGTATTATTTGCTCACCTGATTAAGAAATTATAAATTACAAACAGGAAAAGAAACCTAAAGACATAAACAGCAGAGAAAGTAAATTCTGAATTGTTTTAAGGTTTTGTTTTTGTTTTCCCTAAGACATGCTTTCTTACTACAATAGGGAAATGGGAAAAGGTACCTTTTAACATTCATTTTCTCAACAGAAAGCAAAGAAAGTCTGAGATGTACTTTCACAATACGAATTTCAAGGAAGAAAAGATACCAGACATCATTAGAGATACAGGAAAATGCTCTCTATATTTATAGAGATTTTAAAAACTAGATATCTACATTCAACAAATTTAATTCAATAAACATGTGCAGCAGGGCAATGAGCCATAGAAATGAAGGTGCTAGGGATATGTAGATAAAAAAATAACACAGTTCCCCCTTAAATGATACAATTTAAACAAAAACAATTGATATACAAGGTAAGTGTGAAAAGGGCAAAAGAGAGCTCTAGAATAAGGGCTATGAGAAAATTTGAAGTGGGAAGATCAACTTCAGCCAGGATGATCAGGGAAGATTTCATTGAGAGCCTTAGTAACTAAAAGGTTTTGCAGAAAAAGAGATTTCAACAGTCAGAGATTAGGCCGACTTACACTGTTAGAAGAAGCCTGCATGAATGCATGGCAGTAGAAAAGTATCAGAACCACTGGAATGATGTACACATGAAAAGAAGCTAAAGAAGGAAAGGTGACTATTCTAACCACTAGCATTACAATGGGTTCAATAATTTTAATACTTTAATAATTAAATTGACTTGTGATCTTACCAAGAAAGGCATTTTCACCATAGACATAGATTACAAATTATACATGCCTCCTCATCTTGTGCAATTGTTTTTTTACACACCCATTCCTAAATCTTCCATTAAATCATAAAATCCTCTTTGAGGAGGGGCTATATTTGCCTTTTCTTTGTTTTCCCAGCACTAGGCTCAGGCCTGGCATTGGCAAGTGCCCAATAAATGCTTGTTATTTTGACTTGAAAAGGGATCTACCCATACTTTGGATGCTTCATTAAATATTTTAGGTATCTCTACATGAAGTTCTGCTTTTCTGAATACCTCCAGTAGCTTCTCTGCTAATTAACAATTTATTCTACTTTTATCCTCCATCTCCCAAGCCTCAGTCCCTATATGACAGTTTCTGAGCACACCTGTCTAAATTTTCTGCATTCACAATTCCTACCTCTCTTACACTCTAGCTTCCACAGTCAGCTATGTAAATACCAAACTAAACAAAAACATTTTTACTTAAGAGGTTGATTCCTTTGCAGATAGGAGTGTATAAGTGCATGAACCTATTTTACTGAATTTTTCATTCAAAAGAATTCATCAGAAAGCATTTTCCTGTCTTTTGTCAGAATGTGGAAAATAATTGGTTTAATAAAACTGTATGTTCAAATGATACTCGTGAAAAATAGAGTTTTACTTGTGCAAAAATATTTTAAAATAAGAAAAATAAAAATTATGGGATTAAGTATCAAAGTTTAAAAAATTCCTTTGTAAAATATTCCTTCAACATTATGTAAAACTTTTTAACCTCACAGCTTTCAAACCTTGATGCTAATTATTTTGGAAAACAGCGACTTATTTTTTATAATGATACCCTTGCCTAAGTTATAAGGAATAGCTTATATTGTTTTCTGAATACTCTTGATGTATATCACTTTGCTGCCTCTGGGTGGCACAATAATATTTAAGAAAAATTAATATAAATAACACTTGCTAGTGTATTTTTGCTTTAAAGAATAGTGCATTACACACTAAAGAAAGATTAAATGTAAATACACAGGATCAAAGAATGGCCTACTCATTCCAGAAAAGGATTAAACTAATTAAAATGGTTTAAAACAATAGCTCAGAAGTTCAAAAATAGAAACATTAAATTGATGATAGATTAAATGAGAAAAACTCAAACTACAGTATGTCATGCAATGGTATTAAAGTTTGAAAAATCTTTTTTTCATAATCCATATTTCATTCTTTTAAATTTTTTATTAAACTCCTATGCAAATCTGAAACAATTTGCTATTTTCCAATACTATTTCTCTGTCATTATTTTTGCTTTATTAAGATATTATATGCCATACTTAAATCATATATTTCCTGAGAAATTCCAGTTTTATAAGAGGATATGCTTCTCATGACAATTTGTGTGTTGTGATTATGAAGCAATAAGACTGCTTTCTAAATGTGCCTTTCTGGGACATCTTATTATTTTATGGCCATGCCATGTATGACAAACTAAATACCTCACCTTCTATCACTGACTGGACAAATAAATAACACTTCTGGAGGAGAAATTTGTCAGTTCTGGTCATACCAAAAATATTGTAAACATGGCTGAGGAGTCAATGTGAGTCTTAAGTTCTCACCTCTTGTTCCATATATCATTTCTCAGCCTGTACAAGCCAATTTAGGCCAAAAAAGAAGCAAAACTGGAGGGCCAAGAAAGATGCAAGAAAGTTAGTATAATTCTGTAATTTCAGACTAAACTAGTTGTATGTGAGAGTGTGCGTGTGTGTGTGTGTGTGTGTGTATGTTTAGTGGAAAAGAATAGAATCTAAGAAAAAAGAATCTTTCTAGTATTTTTATGCAAAAAATTCCTTCCATTTCTTTGCTTAACATTCTTTATAAGCCAGAAATAAAGAATACTGGATTTAATCATGGAAATCTCCAGTCTGATTTCTCCCACTAGCTTCAAACCACTCATGTCTAGGAAATACCTTTAGAGATACAGGAGGTTCTTGTTCATTAAAAAACCATTCCCGCACTCCTGATTACTCTATATACACCTGTCTACAAAAGCCCTAAGTGATAAAACCTTCTTCTAACAATTGTTAACAACCTAAAATATACCAAATTTTAGTTAAGTGTAAGAGAATTTTTTTTTCATTTTAGCATTAGTTACCTAGGAAATAGGAACTATTGTCCCTTATTCTTCAATGTAAAAATGCATTCATGCAGATCAATAAATAAATGGCTTAACCAAAAATACTAATTAAAGAGCTCCAGGGACCCATGAATAAACCAACAAAAGGTTTAGATCAATAGACCATAACCCAAGATAGGCTCAATTGTCGTCAAAAACTCATTGTGTGTTGCATTACTGCTACCTGTAGCTCTTTTATAGAAATAACTACTATTCATCTAACATCCAAAGGGAAACTTATGGTAAAATAAAATCTAGTGTTGGTTTCGCCAAGAATTAATTATAAATTTCTGGGAAGGTTTAACCTCTCTGGGTCTCAGTTTTCTCATGTTTAAATTGATAGCACAAAAACACTGTCATGTGGTAGACACAGTTAGACTTGAAGTTTGGAAGTCTTGGACTCAGATCTAAATAAATGTTTTACAATCCAACCTTCTTATTTTCCTCCCCAGCTCTCAGAACCATCATCTGGGGAAATGGTTCTTGTGCAGAAGGTGCCAGCAATCCCCACCAATTGTGATCTAACTACCACCCATTGGGCTGATGAGCTGGCATACCAGGACAGTCTGAGGGAGACAAAGGAGACAAGAAATGCCAAAGATCACCACCAACCCTGACCATCATCTTTACTCAGACCCTGATGGAGAAGGCCTAGGACCCTGAAACCAAGAACTTTAGGAAGAGCAATGTCCCCAAAACCAAATGAATTGTTTCTGACCCAGCAACTGCAGCCACCAATGAGAGAAGAAATCTTGTGGAGAAGGAGCCACGTTATCACCACCAACTACTGCTGACCAACTGCTGCCAAAAGGCAGACAAGTATTGGCGCCTTAGGGGTGGCAGCATCCTCCAGACCACCAGTTATGATTCCAGCTCAGTCCTCACAGCCATCAACTGCGGAGGGGCTCCTGTGGAGGAGGGGGTATCTGTCCCCAACAAGTGCCAACATAAAGCAGGCCAGCTGGAACAGGAAAGCCTCCTGAGGAAGAGACAGGAGGCAGCATGTGCCAAGCAAGCCAAACCTCCACCACCTTGATCACCATCTTCCTTCACATCCTGATAGAGACAGCCCAGGGCCCTGAACCCAAGAGCCTTGGGGATATCAAGTTTCCAACCCAGGGTCCATAACTGTCATCCTGGAAAAGCCCCTGGGGAAATGTTGCTTTGCAACTGCTCCTATACATGCTATAGCCATAGCTACTGAAAGCTCAGAAAAGAAAGTGCATGCCACCAAATTCCTTAGCACCACTGAGTGGTTCAGCATCAGAAACTACATCATTTTATCAGTGGAAATGACATGAAAGAAGAGGCACTGACATCTGCTTTTCTGCTGTCCCCTAAGGACCATGGGTCCTTTCCCTCTGACTTGCAGCTAAAACCTTCCTAATTTATTGCCTTCCCCATTAGACTGTGAGTTCCTTGAGAGCAAAGACTATCTTACTTCCTCTATTTGTATCCCCAGTGCTCAGCACAGTGCCTTATGCCTAGTAAGCATTTAACAAATGCTTTATTCTCTCATTCATTCTAAAACTGTAAGTTATAAATGCTTATGATCTGTGTCTCAATGAAGGGATTTTACATACATCAACAAATGAGAGGTACTTGTTGGGGAGATTCAGAGTCCAGAGACTGGATCTTCCATATCTATAAAACTGTAATCTTACATACACTGGTTCATTTATTATAGATTACTAATGCAATTTCTATTTTTAATTTAGTCAAGTTTCCCATCTTTACATGACTTCCAGTATACTTCTCAAGCATACTTAGAAATAACTCAATTTCTCTTTCAACTACACCAAACAAGCACTATTAAATAATCAAATAGGTCATTTTAGGATTTTTAAAAAGCACTTTATGAAGTCTGAGGCAAAATAAAACTTAAGTGTTCAATGTTAGTTTTCACATAGAAAATTTTAAAAAGCCATACCACTAGCACTGCATAACTAGTGAGAGAGTAGCACTGAACTGTTGTAACATTTTCATCTGAGGAAAGGATGTGGCAGCCATCTGACTTCCAGCCCCCTTGTCCATTCAGCAAATCAAAATCCCATTGGGCTGCGACAGCATCTGCTCCATGTGCAATTCGACGCAATGTAACATTAATAGGAATGTGTTGAGTATTTATATTTATTCCATCTGTTGAAAGAAAAATACAATAGTTTAAAAAAAAACAACTTTTATGTGCTAAACTATAAAATCTGGAATTTGTTAAGTGAGTCATTAAACAGAGTTGAACATAAAACATTATTTTGGAGCCCAACTTATAAAGTCACATTATTTCTATTGGTAAATTACCTTTTTGGGAGGGAAACTGGGTATCAATTGGGACTTTACTTTGTGTAAAATACATATAAATTACAAGTAATACTTATATAGCAATATTTGTCAGAAACAAACCCATTTTGGTGAGAATCACAGGGGTGACTACTGTGCGCCGCTTTCCATCATCAGCCAGATTTGTTGAATTTCCTGTTGCTGGAAAAAGCTTTCCATTGCGGAATGCAATAAGTTGAAGCTTGTAAATAGATTCATCAGCTAGTCTGGTTTCCCTTTTATGCTTTGGTGAGAAAAGGGAGGGAGGAAGCTGAATAGATGCTTCTACGATAGTATTCTAAAAAACATAACATTTTAAAGGTTATTATCAATCTCTCAGAAAGAGAACAATTAATTATTCCTTCACTGCCACATTTCAAGTTTTCAAATTTCATGTTAAACAAAACCTTTTTATAATGGACTATTTGTAAAAAGAGTCATATTGAATTTGATAACCAATATGTCTGGGAGTTAATATTGTTTCACTTTCTTAAAACTGAAACAGAAACATGGAATGAAAATAGGTCAAAAAACTACTGTGTACAACTATTACTAGAATGAGAAATGCAAACTCTCCAAGAATTAAGATACATACCAAATGAATTCTCTTTTCCATACTCTTAGTTTGATTTTTTTTCCCATTATAGTATGAATTCCTTCTTGGTGGAGAGCAAATTAACAACAACCAGACAAATGTCAACTACAACAATAATACTAATCAGGACATTCAGTAATAATGATATATCTGAATTTTACATGGATAACAGGGAAAAAAAAGATGCAATAACAATTAACTCAAAAAACCCTTGAGCCAAACAAAATCTACCCTGCTTTCCTATATATTATCAATATGAAGTGAGGCATAAAAGTCATACATGCTCACCAAAGGTTATGAAAGATGGTCAATGAAAAAATGCAAATGGAAAAGAAATTCCCTACATAAATAATGAGAACCTCCCATTTGTGGATAACACTATACTAATTATATCAAGTACCAGAACATTAAAGAGACACTATTATTCAAAAGGGATCAGCCTAACAATCCAGACAGGAAAATTAAAACAGATAAAAAAAAACATCATTAACGTCATTAATTAACATTAGTTATCTATGAAAGAACTAAAACCTATCATAAGGAATACGGACAGATGCACAAAAGTAAAATGCAACTGGCTAGACTGGCATACAAAGCTAGCAATTACTATGTACTGGCTGAACCCAAATTAGGTTTTGCCATCAGAATTAAAAGTATCAGTGGTATTACTTCAAGGTCCATAAAGTATTGCAGCTTTGTGTCTCTGCCAAACCTTCAACAGCATTTTCACTCGACAGGCACTGTGGCACCATTCATTGTATAGGGTTACCCAAACCTGAAGTCTATGAAGGATTTGATTCATAAATATGGTTATGGCAAGATCAAGAAACAAAACTGCCCTGACTATAAGTGCCCTTATTGAAAAATTTCTTGGTAAATATGGAATTATCTACATGGAGGAGTGGATCCATGAGATCTATACTGACAACAACTTTCCTGTGGCCCTTCAAATGATCTTCTCCACAGGGTGGAATGAAAAAAAAGCTACATATTTTGTGGAAGGTGGAAATGCTGGTAAAAGGGAAAGCTGAATCAAAAGGTTTATTAGATGAATGAACTAAATTTAAAGATCGCTATCATGATCATTCGTCTAATGATCTGTTAACAAAAATGCCTGTGATAAAAAATAAAAAAACTTTATGGAAAACTTATGAGAGGATATGAGGAAAAGTCATGGATGGAAGGAAGGAATGAAGGAAAGAAGGAAGGAATCCGTAATAGAGATGAGTATTATCACTGAGGAGATCACAGAACCACATATATACTGAAGTAAAAAAGCAATATTATAAATTTATACCCATTATTTTATAGTAACTTACAAGCTGCGTGTATACATCGTTGGATACATTCAAAGACCAATTATTGATGAACAAGAAAATTATTTTCCAGCCACACAATCAATTTTATCAACCTAATGTCCTTTGCACTGGATGCAAGCATATATTATATATGACTGACACAATCAGCGAAGCAGACAGATTTGTTCCATGTGCCTGTTGTCTATCTTTGTAGTTAGGTTTTGGCTGAACTCTATATCGCTTAGTGGAACTGCAGTGTTCTGTGAATCGTTTGAGAAATGCTAATTCAGAATTGCAAAAAAATCTTTGACAAAGATTTATAACCAAACTGTTTTAAACCTGAAGTTGGCATAGAATTGGGAAGGATTTTTTAAAATCATGGCTAGGGAAAAAAGAATTTAAACAGGATAAATGGATAATTTCTTTGCTTAGACGAATATTAACAGTAAGCAGTAGCCTACAGATCAGTGCTAAGAATGAATATTAATCATTCTAAATTGTTCTAGAAGAAACTATGAAATTGTCACATCTGTAGATGGCATCAAGCTCTGAAGGCTAATAAAGTATTAAAAAATAGCTTGAACTATTAGAAGGTCTCAAAAGCTTCCAATGAAGTAATATACAATAGTGATTTTCATATGAAGACAAAATGAAAAGATTAAAATATACTTCAAGCCAAGAAAATTATGAAGGTATAAGTAAGTTAAATAGGAAAGAATCACCATATCCTAGGCTGGGGGACAACTTGAAGCTTTAAAGAAGCAAGCTTATTTTCTTAAATTAAAAAAAAAAAGGTCACAACATGCACAGCATTGTGAAAGACTATGGCAGGGTGGGGGAGCTAGGGGTGGTGATGTATAGTTAATGACCTCTTCGTGCCACAGTCTTTCAATCTCTGACACAAGCCTGACTGAGAGTGCAAGGACTGATGCAGAAGATGATGGAGGCTGCCATGCAGTGAAAGTAACACTGACTAGAAAGGTGAACTATGAGTCACAGGAACAAAGTTCATATCACCCTCTATTACTTCTTGCCTCTGACCTTTTGCCACCAGTGAAATTCTGTAGATCTCAGTTTCTTCAGCTGTAAATGAGTGGGATGGGACTTGACTTCTAGGGGCCTTTCTAGGACTACACTGATGATTTTGTGTTCTGAAAGACACAGCTCCCTGAGCCTTGGAAGGCAGAATCACCTGCCAAAAGATGTTTCTCTGTGTACTTGCCATACACTGGTGCACAGGACTTCTTCAGGGTTCCACATAAAACAGAGGAACAGGAAAAGCCATGAAGGATATACACTGATCTGTCATCAAGAGAACTTGTTCTCTTGATTCTCTTGTTTTCCCTCTTGCAACATATACTGCTTTACAAATGAAGTATAATGGGCTGGTCTAAGCACTAGCCCTGAGGCCTGACCTTTCCACACTTTCAAATGCTGCCCTATACAACCTCAGAGTGAGAGAAAAACTGCTGCCCCCCCACTGAAGCTATCATAAAGAGTTGCTGAGATCCCTGAAAAAAGATAAACTCCCCTACATCCCTGTTATGGTAACATAAAAATATGAAATAATCCCTGTCCTCAAAGATCTTATACTCTTCCTAGGAAAGTTAAACATAAAAATGAATAACTTTAATAAAACAAAGTGGTGTCATTATATGATTGGTAGATAAATTATGCAGAATGTGTTTTATTGACCTTTACTGAATAGAATATGCCTAGATATCTTCAAGGAGACAGGATTTGAATTGGATCATATAAAAGCAAATTATAATTTTACCTGCTGGGTAGTAATTTGCAGAGATTTTTTACCTTAAAGAGTTGTGCCTGCTAAAAATCTAAATAAAGATTCAATAAGGACATAGATACATTCCAGGATACGAAATACATGAAAAAATAATTAGCAATGTTTTACAAGGACATCCTTAACCATTTGAAATTAATAGAGGAATATGAAGTTTAATATTATAGGGAGTCAACTACCACAAAATGTACCTTCATTCCAATTTGAGACATATCTGCACAAATTTATATTACAATGAAAACTAAGCTTTTTATTAAAGTTTCAATGGCAGATATTTATCAACTTCCACTATAATAATGACTGCAGAGCATATGTGGAAAACTAAGATAAATTTTAATTTTAAAAATTGTTATAATTATATCTTTGTAGTGCTAAGACTTTAGGCATGCTCACATACTTCCCAACCAATGCACATTGTTTTAATAATAAGTTTATTTAAACACAGATTTGAGTAACTGATAGGTTTCCAAATGTGAGTGCTTTAGTAACAACCAGTGCAATTAAAACAATTTAAAATCTACATGTTGGTATTTATTTGGCTAATAAAACCTCCTTTCCAAATATTTTCTACTATTATTCCAAAAGAATAAGTAATGTTGTAAGAACTTTAAAATGTCACCTTCTGAAATGTCTAATTTACTAGCAGCATTTAGAAAGCTATGTACATTTGTCATCTGAGAATCAGCCAGACTAAAGAGAGATGGTCTTATCACAAGAAGGCTAGACAACAGATGATAAATTTCAGAGGACTACAGCAATTTATGACAACTGTCTACTAAAATACTGAGTTGATATCTACGTGGTAGAAGTAGGTATATTAATGAAATCACAAGGTATTTCATTCCTAAAATTTAATCAAATTTACCTTGCATAGCTTGTTTCTGACACCAGAGTTAAAGGAATACTGTAATGCATGTTACAAAATATCTCTTTATAAAACATCTATTTTCAACAAATATTAATAAAAACTAATTATTAAGACGTCTGAGCTGTGTGAGCAGTAAGATGGCAGACTAGACATTTCTTCTGATCCCTATGACCTCTCAAATCTCTTCTAAACAAAAATTGTGCACTAAAGATAAAGCAATTTCAGCTGTCTCCACAGTCTAGGTCAGATAACCAGAATCCTAAAGAGGGTTAGAAAACAAAACAAAAAACGTGAACTGATAATACTCACTGACCACAAGCTCATTCAGCATCTTCCATCTCTCATGCTACTGGCAGAAAGTCTGCATTAACAGACCCAAGAACCCAACACCTCCACAAACTGGTTCCCTGCCCCTTTTCCATTGCCATGAAGACCCTGGCTCCAGACAGTGGACGTTTACTCAGGACACTACAGATAAGCTATTTGTTAAAAGGGATAACTGTGGGAGAGGTAGGAGGAGAAGGTATACTTAGGATAACTATGATGATGTAAGAAACAGAAGACACAAATAAAAACTTACTTTTGAAAAGCTAATTATTAAATAGCTACATTGGATTGCAATTACAAATTTACTATAATTTAACAAACCTTCTTAAGAATATAAAACTTAATCAGAGCTTCATAATCCCTATATAGATGCCTGACTTCTAAACTAGGAATATAGATCTTGTATACATTTATAAAGGTGTCTTAGAGTACTGGACTGGGAATGAGGAGATTTAGTTTTAGTCTTGGCTCTGTGACTATACCTATGTGATCTAAAGAAAGTCAGAAATTTCCTACACTTTCAGGTCTTCATCTATAAAGTCTCCAAGGTTTGGTCCAATTCCAAAATTACTATAAAATTAGATTGATTTTTTTAGGGGGGAGGAAAATATGCCTACATTATTTGGAATACTAACTTTTATAACATTGATTTATCAACATAATTCCTCTACTTAGTTTAGATTAAAGGATGCACTCACAGATACTTCATAATTTATAGGGCAGCTCAGTGGTGCAGTGGATAGAACACTGGGCCTGGAGTCAAGACGATCTGAGTTCAAATTTGTCCTCAGACACTTGCTAGCTATGTGACCCTGGGTAAGTCACTTAATTCTGCCTCAGTGTCTTCATCTAATAAAATAAGCTAGGGAAGGAAATAGCAAACCATTCCAGTATCTTTGGCAAGAAAAACCCAAATGAAGTCACAAAGAGTCAGACATGATTGAACAACAAAAACTTTATAATTGATAAATGAAGTTTTGACTACAAAGATAACTTATCTTTATTAATATGAGAAAAAGAGTATGTATAATCTTCAAACATTTCAAGTTATCTTTGCAATGATTTTCCCCCTCCAAATAGCCTTGATTTCCTAATTATGTTTCCTTCAAGGCCAAACTCAGAGGCTATCTCTCCCATGAAACTTTTCCTTAAGACCACAAATGGAAAGGATTTCTTGCTTTTCACACCTCTTGGTACACTTTGCCTGTATGAACTTCTCCTTTCCTCTTAAAAAATCTTTCTTGTATCACTTATTTGTACACATAACATTTCCTCTACTACACTGTGAGATAATTATAGTTAGTTTGTAATTGTAACATAACTATATTTAAAATGAGAATGTTCTTTACATATAGCAAAGGAATTCTTGATGAAAACACAAGGAGGCTTCTATGGATGGTTCTTTACTGCAGACCACAAATTTGTGGCCACACAATTGATGACTAAAATTTATAAAGAAAAATGGTCCTGATGTTTATTGATTACAAAAGAAAAGAGGAAAAGAAAAAAAAAAGAAAAAAGCATCTGATTTCATAGAGCAAGATCCAGCTATAAAGGCTCCCCTCTAACAAAGTGTCTCAAACATACCTGTTAATATCATGCAATATAGAAACACAGAGACAACTTTGTGTTCAGTAATTCTCTGACCAGCAACAAGGCATAGAATAGAGAAACAAATGTTCAGCAAAAGTGCCATGTAAGATGTCCTACAGAATCTGAGTAAAATGATTTCCTATACATGTTGAATTCCTCAGATATCCCTGTGTTCCAATGACACATACTCATTGTATTAAGTCCCTTAATACTAGAAGATATTTTAATAAGATCCACAATTCTTATAAAGAGATCAGCTCAACAATTCACACAGAAAAAAAATCAAGTGTATGAAACTGTTCATTATGATATCCAACAGAATGGGAAGTCTGCTGACCATGCATAAACACTGCAATATAAACAATAAGCTGGACTCATAGCTGACCAGAAGAGAATTCTGGACTGCCCAGTAGAATCTAAGCTCCTTGCAGAGAGGAAGTTTGGTTTTGGTTTTTGTAGTCAAGTGTCTTGCACATAAAAGGCATTAAATAACCATTTACTGAATTGAATTCAAGCGTAAGTTCTTTGGAAGTAAGGTCTGTATCATCTCTCTCTTTTTTTTTTTAAGGGCAGTATAGGAAAGCATCTTGTGCTTCCTAAGCACTTAAAAATGTTTGCTTAAATGAAAACAAAAAAATTAAATATGCAAGGTGATGATTCCTAGACCTTCTTTCCAGGCCTAAATTCTCTCCAGACTACAGTCTCACATCTCCAACTGTGTACTGAACAACTAGAATTGTATGTCTCATCAACACCCTAAATTCAACAAGATTGAATTCATTATTTTTCCCCCCAAGTTCTCTCCTAACTTTCTTATTATATTAAGTGCACCATGATTCTCCCAGTCAACCAAGCTCCCAACCTAGCTGTCATACTTAATTGCTCACTCTCTCTCACCCCAATATCTAATCAGTTGCCAAGAACTGTCAATTCTACCCTTGCAGCATATCTCACATTAAACCCCTTTCTCTCTTCTGACACTACCAACACCCTGGCTTGGACCCTCATCACCTCAGGCCTGGATTATTTTTAACAACCAGCTATTTGGTCTCCCTGAGACAAGTCTCTCTCCACTCTAGTCCATCTTCAACTCAGCTGTCCGATGATCTTCCTGAAGTTCAGGTCAGACTATATGCCCCTATCACCACACACATACAATAAACTATAGTGGCTCCCTATTACCTTCAGGATCAAATGCTTTTTTTTTTGGTTTGATTTTCAATGTTCTTCATAACCAATCCTCCTCCTACCCTTTCAGTCTTCTGATAGTCTATTCATCCCCACCCAGCCAGCCTACTTACTCTGCAATCTTGTGACATTATCCCCTCACTACTCCTCACACAAGATACTCAACCTCCCAATTCCATTCATTTTTACTGGCTGTCCTCCATGACTGAAATTCCCACCTTTCTCATCTCCATCTTTGCCATTCTCTGGATTTCTTTGAGTCTTAGGTGAATTCCCACCTTCTTCGGGAAGCCTTTCCTGAGCCAATTTAATGTTAGTGCCTCCCCAATCATCCTGTATATGGATTGTTTGTGCAGAATATTGTCCTCCCCATTATACTGTGAACTCCTTGAGAGCGGGGATTTTTTTATTTTTGGCCTCTCCTTGTATCCTCATCACTTCACACTCGGCCTGGCACATAGTAGACACTTAACAAATGCTTGGAAACTGATGGAAAAGCCAGACATGAATTTAAAATTTGTTATAGACAAGGCTAACAGTAGGTAATAAAGTTACATATAATTGAGTTAACTATCAAAATAAGGAAATAGTCTTCAAAATATAAAAACATAAGCTACCAAAAGATAGTTTTCTGTCTTTTATTCATGCTCAGAATAATTTCCAATATACTTCCATTTTTTTATCTTGAAAGCAAATATTACCTCATTCAATTTACTTCATTCTAAACTTAAAATTTGATTGCAAATCAATTCTATATGTCTAAAAATGTCTCAAATGTCCAAAATTTAAGAGAGCTTAGAAATTCTGTACTATCTTGCTACTTTCTTTTTTTTAATTCTAAGTTCTATGATATGACAACTTACCGATCATTATAGTTATCATTCAAATCAATGAATAAATAGCATTAATTAGTGCCTTGTTAAAAACATTCATATATGTTAACCAACACTAACAATATTATGATAATGATAATCTATGAAAAACATAGCTACTCTGATCAAGACAATGATTCCAGACAATTCCAAAGGATCCATAATGAAAAATGTTATCTGCATCCAGAGACAGAACTGACTGTCTGGAGATTGAAGCATATTTTTTTCATTTGCTTTATATTTCTTGCTTTTGATTTTTTTTTTCAACATGGCTAATATGGAAATATGTTTTGCATGACTTCATATGCATAACTGATAAATTGCTTGCCTTTGCAATGGATGAGGCAGAGGTAAGATAGGAGAGAGGGAGAGAATGTGAAACTCAATTTTTTTTAAATGAACATTAAAAATGAATAATTTTTTTTTAAAATAAAAGGCCAAAGTGTTCATAAGGAAGTTAACTAGACTAAGCCGAATAACATTTGTTTCTATTTTTCCTTGCCACAATAAAACATGCTTTATTTTCTGAAAATATTTGCCCTATTACATAAGTAACAGGGGCCGGATCTATGATTTGCAGTGGTATAACTCACTGAGAGGAAACTCCTTCTACTGATACAGGGCAGCACATTCTCTGCCAGATAAAAAGAGCTGCCTAGAGTACTGCAAGGTGAAGATGCTTGGCCAGATCACACATTGCCCCATATATGCTGAAATACCTTTCCTAATTCAATGAACTGTATCACTTTTACTTCTGCTGCTTTTTAATTTTTTTAATTTCATTTTATTCCTGCCTAATTTCTGAAATGATAAAAGCACATTTTAATACTCAATCTATCTATAAAGAAAAGCATAAATGTCTATAAACTATCAGGCATCATACCTTTAGTGCCAGACTTGAAAATGTATTAGAAACGTTGCATTTAAAGCTCAGCTGTTTATCTAGATGTCCATCTGGATCTCTTCTTCCGTAATCAGTTAGTCCTGACCGATCAGATGTTGCCACTTTCTGGAATACGGTGCATGTCATTCCTGTGAAGCTGGCAGCCTTGATGACATAAGCTTCCAGAGCAATATTTGGTGAATACTTCAAATTCAACAAATATTAGTTACATAAGGTTAATGTCATGGGAAGAATAATATGAGATAATCTGGCATACATAAAACACATTGTTATTATTATTGTACTACATTTTAATAAAATATGCTAGGAGTCAGGAGGACCTTAGTTCAAATCTGGCCTCAGACACTTCACACTTAACCAAGCTGTGTGACCCTGGGAAAGTCACTTAACACAGATTGCCTCACCAAAAAGCAAAATAATAAGAATAAGAATAAGAATAATTACTTGCTAAATCACAGCTATGATTCTAAAGTCTCTTCCAATGTTAGAGATCCACTGATGGATCTCAAAAGCAATTTAACCTAACTTTCCATACCCAATAGAGAATCTCTACCAGAAAGAAAGGAAGTTATTGTTTTTGCTTCAGTATTTTACTGAATAAGACATTAGTAATAATCCCACTCAAAAACTGTCTCCATGCTAGCTGGTAGGTAGATCCTAAATCAAGCAGTGAAAGGAAACGAACAAATCAGATACAGATAAATAACCAAGATGGTAGTTACCCACCCAAGTTTTTGAAGTGACTCAATGATGAAATTTTAAGCTTCAGGCTGCAAAATGTACACCTGTCAATACAATGGCCATCATGACTTCTCTTTATAAGGGCACTCCCCATCCCCATCCGCACTCCAGATAAGTCTATATAAATGATAGCCTACTGAATCTTCCACATTTGGCAAAAAGGCATAATCTATATCTGTGATTTTACTGGTATAAGGAATTCCTTCAATCAATGCAAATCAGTAACTGTTTGGTATCACAGAGTTGCCTAAGACATTGAGAAAATAAGTAACTTGTGCCCAGGATTAAACAAAGAGTATTTGTCAGAGGCCAGAATGCAATACAGGTCTGACTCTATGCCTGCTCTTTAGCCACCACATCATGTGGCCTTCTTCAACAATAAGCATTTATTGAGAACTAACTTTGTAAAAGGCACTGTGGAAAGTGCTGGAGGTGATACAAATTTATACAAAACAGGATACCTCTTTTCAAAAAGCTGATATATTGTGAGATTACACATACAAATATGTGTGAAATGAGGCAGTGTAAACGATATAAACTAAGTTTAACAGAATTACTGGAGAAGAAGGGATCACTTGCAACTACAGTGATCAGGGAAAGGCATCATGAAGATATACTTATGGATTAGTCCTTGAAGAATAAGTAGAATTCCTCTAAGTAGAGGAAGTGACTAGTGAAAAAGTATAAGAGCCTAGAAAGCACAATCCAGGCACAGAGAATAACAAATAGTCCAGATCTATTATATCAAAGAAATCATATGAGAGACTGGTAGATAAAGATAGAAACTATTATATGAAAAGAATCAGATTGAGGAAAGACTTGAAAGCTAAGAAGTTAGAATTTCATTTAGTATGTGTTTAAAAGAAAGTTATTTCAGATAAGGAAACTGAGGCCCAGAGAGGCTATATGAAATGCCCACAGACATACAGCTAGTTTGTAGTGGAGCCTGGATTAGACTTAAGAATTACTAAATTCTTAACCATTGTTCTGTCTCACAGGCTGTGTGATGTAACATAAAAATTGTATAAATATTTCTGGTTGTGTAGAAAAATATCAAATGAGCTTCAGTATGATCATGCATAGAACATTTAGGAAAAACAATCTAAACAAGGCTTAAAAGATAATATAACAAATTATGATTCAAAAATGACACAGAAATCTTTGAACACCACTTTGTATTAATATTCCAGTGTGTTATAGGGATTTATTTTTTTTAGTGAGGCAATCAGAGTTAAGGGACTTGCCTCGGGTCACACAGCTAGTAAGTACCATGTGTCTGAGGCCACATTTGAACTCAGGTCCTCCTGACTACAGAGCTGGTTGCTCTATCCACTGCGCCACCTAGCTGCCCCTGTTATAGTGATTTTAAAAAATGCTGACCATTATCAGAAATGATACTGAAAACATTAAACAAAAAAAATCTACCCTTGTGAAACATGAAGATGTATCCAAATCTATAATAAATATAAGTAATTCTAGTCAGAAGACCTCAAGAAATCTACTTTCATTAGAGGTTTATAGGAGGGCAGTTTTAAAATAACAAGATTCCCATAGAGTCTAAGAGTGCTACCTGAGACCAGACTAAAAAGACTTTGGTCAGGAAAAACATGGGCTCAAGAGATATTAAGTTTAGAGGTAAACATAAATAAAATAAGGATTTATTAACTAAATCCAAAATTGGAAAATAGAAGGCAAACAAGGATATTTGAAAAAGTTAAATAAAGGACAAAGAAAAAGAAATATTACTTTACACAATGGCTATTATAACTATGAAACCCCAAGATAAAATTAGGTGAAAATTACAGATTGGTTGAGGAATGTTTTCAGTAAACATCATATATCACAAACATTAGATCCATAATGCCCTCTTGCATATGTGATGAAGGGCTGGTGGGAATGGGATACACAGCAGATCCCAAACCTTTTGAACTTTATGTCTTAGAAGGTTTCCATGCTTTCCCACAAACCAAACCTTTGATCTAGATAACAGAATACTGAGATGGTAAGAATAGTGGTTTGAGTTAATATGCCAATGTAAATGTTTTTTAGTTAAATTTAACAAAAACACATGAAATAGATAAGATACAGAATCACACAAATCAGAAATTAATAGATGCTTCTGTAGTGCCATTAAACATATTATTCCAAAGCAAAAGAGACTTTAAAAAAAAATCTCTTCTCAAAAATTCAACTCAAAATTGTAAAAATAAAGTCTATTTACATAAGAGTGACAACTGAAAATGATCATTTTAGGTTTATAATTTAATTTAAAAGTGATGATATAACATTTACACTTACAGTTGAATATACATGGGCTCCATTTGCCAATCTGTACACAGCAATTCGTTGTAAGCACTGAACAATTCTACTGCAAGCTTTTCCTTCTCTCTGTGCAAGCCACAAAACACGCTCATCAGCCAACATGATATTGCTTGCAATATCTACCATCACGTCGCCAAGCTACAAAGAACAAGATGAAGATCATTAAAACTAATGCAAACTATATTACTGGATTCATTTAGAAGAAATATACTTAAAAGATGTTGCAGTTCTAAAGTTGGCTACAAAAATCCAAAGCTTTTTATTCTAAGCATGAACATTATAACAAAATATTTACAAGTTACTCATACAATGGAAGAATAGTTTTGAAAATGCAAACTGTTACTGTTAATTTTTATGCCACCTGAAAAAATGATTTCTCCTCTATATGATATCAGTGTTACAGAAAAAGAAAGATGGGTAAAGTGTGTGATTTTTTAAAACTGTCTATAAACTTAAATTACTAGTTGTTATTTGTCCTTTGTTTTCAAAGAAGACCAATGACCTCACAATGCTGGGGTGAAATAGTGGATGATGGGTGATATCTTGATTTGTGCATGAACTGGATTTAAATGAGGCATAGTTGTGTAGAATCATCAGCCTCACTCTCTCGTCCAGTCTTCAAAGTCCCCTGGCAAGACAAAAGTCAAGATGACCTTGGCATCTTCAATGTCTAACCAAGCTCTAAGCACTCCACACAGAGCCTGATTCAGCCACTTTAATGGCCATTGAACAAGTTGTTCTCATCTGCCTATTGTGCTGGGACAAGTTTTCACATGTGTGAGGGTAAACATCCACCTAACTCACTGATGAATTTTGAGGCCTATAGTTACCCTCAACCTAGTTTAGCCCACCTGCAAAGATGGTTTTTCTGGGGTGTGACACTGTGCATACTATACACTCTTCAAACCACAGGTGAGAAGAGGATAAGTGGACAGACACCAAAGGTAGATGATCAGCTCTGAAAAGGGCTTGGCAGGTCCTCAATACAAGAGTGCTAGTCTTCCCTGAAAGTCCCGCACATTAAATGTGATAGATACTGTGAGTGGAACTGGATTCTCAATCATATAAAAATTTATATTCTCACTAAAAATGAAGTCAGAAGACAAAAGGAAGTAGCCACTAAAGGAAAGACAGTTCAAAGGCTCTCATGAGAGAGTAAAGAATATAGTAGTGTTGTTACTAACATATATCTAAAGGCAACATGGAATGTCATTTTATGAGGTATGTGGCCTCATACTGAAGTGCTCATGAAGAATATTTGTTTAAAAAAAAAGACCATAATAAAGATGTAGTTTACATGCCAACATGTATTACTGAAGATGAGAAGGAAGATAAATCATATCAAGAACTTGACAAGAATCTCCAGATAAAAGTAATATACACTTTAATATTTAATGACCTCAATGAAAGTCTTGGAGGAGGCTAGTGAAAAATAATGGGGAAAAAATAGTGGAAACTGTTACTCAAAAGTTAGAAAAGAGTTTGTAAACTACAGAGGTCTTATTCAAAGACTGGTTATCTATATATGAGTCACTTCTGAAACATATGTGATTGTCATATATGATGGTCAATTTTTAACTGTCAAATAGTTAAAGCAAAACTCAAAATCAATACCAAATGAGAATGAAAAAGAGAAGATAAGATACCCAGAGAAGCTGAGCATAATCTTTCAGGGGAGGAGATGGCCATTCAATGAAATAGGGGACTTTCAAACCTTCCTGATGAAAACACCAGAACACAGCAGAAAATCTGACCTTCAAATACAAGACTCAAGAGAAGTATAAAAAAGTAAACAGGAAAGAAAGAAAAAAAACCACCTTATATTATCAATAAGGACAAACTGTTTACATCTCTACCATGGAAGATGACATGACGTTTAAAAGGGGATATACTTAGACAGAGGGCATGGGTTTAAATTGACTGTAATGTAATGGTAAAAAAATCTAAGTAAGTGGAGAAAAGGGGTTGCACTGGGAGAAGAAAAGAGGAGGCAGACATGGATAAATTACATCATATGAAAAGGCACAAAAACCAAATACAGTAGAGGGAAAGAAGGGAGGGAGATGAGCATTGTTTGAACCTTACTCTCATCACATTTGGTTCAAAGAGGGAATAACTATCAGTTAGGTATAGAAATCTAACTTACCCCACAGGAAGTATAAAGGGTAAAGGGAAAAGAAAAGGGAGGGGGCTAATAGAATGGAGGGCAGACTGAAGGAGACAGTGGTTGAAACCAAAACTCTACAGAGGAGAGAAAGGGGAAAAGGAGAGGAAAATAAGCATAAACGAGGAGGGAGGGGAATAGGATGGAGAGGAAGACACAGACAGTAATCATAACTGTGAACGGGATGAACTCTCCCACAAAACGGAAATGGATAGCACAATGGAGTAAGAACCATAACCTACAATATGTTGTCTACAGGAAACACATCTGATGCAGAGGGATACACAGAGAGTAAAGGTAAAAGGCTGGAGTGAATATAATATGCTTCAGCTGAAGTAAAAAAAAAAAGCAGGGGTAGCAATCCTGATCCCAGACAAAGCAAAAGCAAAAATAGATCTAATTAAAAGAGATAAGGAAGGAAACTACATCCTGTTAAAAGGTATCATAGATAAGGTACCATAGATAATGAAGTAATATCATTGCTAAACATAGATGCACCATGTGGTATAGCAGCCAAATTCTTAAAGTAAAAGTTAAGGGAGATACTGGAAGAAACAGACAGCAAAAATATACTAGTGGGAGACCTCAACCTCCCCCTCTTTGAACTAGATTAATCTAAAAACAAAATAAATAAGAAAGAAGTTAAGGAGAGTGGTATTTAGAATAGAATCTTAGAAACAGAATCTTAGAAAAGTTAAATATGGTTGACCTCTGGAGAAAACTGAATGGGGACAGAAAGGAATATACTTTTTTATCAGTGGTAGATGGCGCTTACACAAAAACTGACCGTGTACTAGGGCATAAAAACCTCCCAATGCAATGCATAAAGGCAGAAATATTAAACACATCCTTTTCAGATCATCATGCAATAAAAATTACATGTAGGGCCATGGAAAGATAAGACTAAAAATTAATTGGAAACTAAATAATCTAATCCTAAAGAATGAGTGGGTCAAATTGAAAATCATAGAAATAATCAATAAATTCATCCAAGAGAATGACAATAATGAGACAACATACCAAACTTATGGAATGCAGCGAAAGCAGTCCTTAAGGGAAGTTTTATATCTCTAAATGTTTACATGAATAAAACAGAGAAAGAGGAGATCAATGAATTGGGTATGCAACTAAAAAAACTAGAAAAAGAACAAACTGAAAATACCCCACTAAATACCAAATTAGAAATTCTAAAAATCAAAGAAGATATTAATAAAGCTGAAATTATGAAAACTATTGAACTAATAAATAAAACTAAAAGCTGGTTTTAGGGGAAAAAAACAATAAAATAGATAAATCTTTCATTAATTTGATTAAAGAAAAAAAGAAAGAAGAAAACAAAATTGCCAGCATCAAAACTTAAAAGGGAAAATTAAATACCAATGAAGAGGAAAAAAAAAATAATTAGGAGCTATTTTGCCCAACTGTATGCCAATAAATTTGACAATCTTAATGAAATGGATGAATATTTACAAAAATATAAACTTCCAAATTAGTGGACAAGGAAATAAGATACTTAAACAACCCCATTTCAGAAAAAGAAATTCAACAAGCCATCAATGAACTCCCTAAGAAAAAATTTCCAGGATCAGATGGATTTATAAGTGAATTCTATCAAACATTTAAAGAACAACTAATTCCAACACTACATAAACTATTAGGGTAAATAGGTGAAGAAGGAGTCCTACCAAATTCTTTTTAATGATACAAATATGGTGCTGATACCTAAACCAGGAAGAGCCAAAACAGAGAAAGAAAATTATAGACCAGTTTCCCTAATGAACATAGATGCAAAAGTTTTAAATAAAATATTAGCAAAGTGATTACAACAACTTATCTCGAGAATAATACACTATGACCAGGTAGGATTTATAGCAGGTATGCAGGGTTGGTTCAGTATTAGGAAAACTATCAGCATAGTTGACCATATCAACAACAAAACTAACAGAAATCATATGATTACCTCAATAGATGCACAAAAAGTATTTGACAAATACAACATCCATTCCTATTAAAAACACTAGAGAACAAAGGAATAAATGGAGTCTTCCTTAAAGGTAGATAACATCTATCAAAAACCATCAGCAAGCATTATATGCAATGGGGACAAACTAGAAGCATTTCCAATAAGATCAGGGGTAAAACAAAGATATCTATTATCACCACTGTTATTCATTATTGTGCTAGAAATGTCAGCTGTAGAAATTATAGAAGAAAAAGAAATGGAAAGAATTAAAATAGGTAAACAAGAAACAAAGCTATCATTATTTGCAGATGATATGGTATATAATTCTATAGAATCAAGTAGAAAATTACTTGAAACAATAAATTTAGCAGAGTTGCAGGATATAAAATAAACCTACACAAATCATCATTATTTCTATATATTACTAACAAAGCCCAGCAGCAAGATATAGAAAGAGAAATTCCATTTAAAATTACTAAGACACTATAAAATATTTGAGATTCTACCCGCCAAAACAAAACCAGGAACTACATGAACACAATTACAAAACACTTTTCACACAAATAAAGTCAGATCTAAATAACTGGGAAAATATCAGTTGCTTATGGGTAGGCCGAGCTAATATAAAAAAATGAAAATTCTACGTAAATTAATTTACTTATTCAGTGCCATACCAATAAAACTACCAAAAGTTTATTTCATAGAGCTAGAAAAAACAATAACAGAATTCATCTGGAAGAACAAAAACTTCAGAATATCAAAGGAACTAATGAAAAGAAATGCAAGGGAAGGTGGTCTAGCTTTACCTGATCTTAAATTGTATTATAAAGCAGCAATCATCAAAACTACTTGGTACTGGATAAGAAATAGAGTGATGGATCAGTGGAACAGGTTAGGTATGCAAGACACAACAATGATTATATTAATCTCCTACTTCATAAATCCAAAAACTCCAGCTTCTGGGATAAGAAATCACTATTTAGCAAAAACTGCTGGGAAAACTGGAAAAAT